GCTTATGTTGTTCTCGGAATTTTTTTACGTCTTCCCGCATTCGCTTGTTGGTCTCTTGCCATGTGGGGCATTTGCGGTCCGTTCCCAGGTGGCCCTTCTTTCTGCACCCTTGGCAGTAGGGTGTGGAGTCGGGGCATCCGGGTCCCTGGGCAGGATCCGTAGAGGCTAAATGTTGAGTTCCGCAGATGGGGCACACGGCAGCATTTGGGCAGATGTCCGGTTTGTGTCCCAATCGGTGGCAGTTACCGCACGTCACCGCTTTCGGCTTGAACGGGAAGACCCGCATATATCTATTGCCGTACAAAACGGACCTCGGCGTCTTTTCTCCATCAAATGTGAGCATTGCCGTGTTAGACTTTCCCAGTCTACGAGCAGCGACCACCTGGATCTTCTCAGATTCCAATTCAAGGTTCAAGACGTTGTCTTGGGGATCCTCTTCTTTTGAGTAAATGTCGTAGATGACCCCTTTGCAATAGGCGGTTCCGTACGTTCTAAAGACTTGTACAGAAACTGCTTGTCCGCCAATGTCGACCTCGGTTATCTTCTCGAGGGTTTCGGCCAGCTGTTTCGAGACCGTGCGGACTGAAATAGTGTTGGCCTTGTCTAGTAGATGCATTGTGAATGCTGTTGAAACGCTCGAGAGGTGCGTTTTCAGTCTTGGTAGTAGTGGCTTTATCGAGACTTGGGATCGTGTTAGGCGGATCTTGTACTCGAATTGCCAACGCCGGGAGGGCTTGGCCTTCTCATTATTTTGTTGTGTCGGGTCCTCGCGAGCCCGTTTCCTTTTCTTCCTGCTCGTGACGGTGGTGAAGCCGTCCTCTTCTTCCGTTTGTTCTGTAGTAGGTGGCGCGGCGGCCGCAGGCTTTGGTGCCGGTAGTGTCTTAGCAGGCACTGAGCTGTCGCCCTGGCTCCCTGCTGGTTGTGGCGTCTTGCCAGATATAGGTGCAGCGCCGGCTGGCGCTGGCAGAATTGTTGTTGTGCTGCTTTTCAAGGCTTTCTTAGAAGTCGCAGACTTGTTCTTCTTTTTCCCCTTGGTAGTTGGCACGATTTCGTGAGATTCTCCAATGACACTTTTGAAAATATCGATAAGGCTCTCTTTCGATATGCTCGAAAGGAGAGCCCTTAAGACTAGCTCGACAGATTGGGCTGTGTTTGGGACTGTGGAGGGCTCACCAAATTGGAAGACTGTTGAGCACCCCATCGTCGATTTGTTTAGTATCGAGGCTGGAGCAGGTCCTGCTCCCGTCGTGGTAGTGGCGGGACCGGCGTTACTCGCATTCCTCGTGTCCATGGCTTCTGGTTGACCGTGGCTGGTCGATGCGTTGCTCGAAGTCCTGGCCGCATCTTCCGGTTTTACCGAGGGACAATCCCCCGAAGATCCAAAAGGGGGGCCCGAACTTGGCAGCTCGGGGCTGGGCTTAGCGCCGAGCATTTTCGAAAAAGTCGAGAGCTTGAGAAAACACGTCCGAACACATCGGTGGCTTCTTCTTTGGCTCAGAAACACTGAGACGATTTAATGCTTTGTGTTTTGTTTTAATATGATTGCCACTTAAGAGCCACCGAGGTGGTTTTTAAAACAAAATATAGTCAAACCATTCCGACAAGCATAGTTTGATTGCGAAAATGGTGTTTCCACGAGATAAAAACATTAAAATCTTTTTGCATACATGGCGGAATCTGAAATGGCGGAATGCATTTCATGGCGCCCATTTCATTTGGATCGCGTCCGGAATGCGTACCGACGCACAGTAGAACGCGCGCAAAAGTAGCTGTGGTGCACCCGCAGCCTCGCGCTCTCGTTTCTGACATTTCTGGCTCGCTCACTGCGGGCATCCAGGCATCTGACACCGTGACATCTGGCGATTTTTTTGTCTTTCACGAGGCGTTCCAAGCGGCACACGACAGAAGATGCACATCAATCTGTTCTCGAACACGTGTCGCCATCTGTACTTTATATTAAAAAACTACAATTTGCCGTAACTGAATGGGAAAAGTTTGAGGTCTTATAACGTTTTAACGTGTAATATGTCAATATGGAAGTTCTGGAAAACATAATATTGAAGGATGCTTCATAATTTAATGTCTCGTTATTTTGATTAGTCAACGTGATTCCGTTTTTATAGCGCCTTAAAATGATGCCATTTTAAACTTTATTTTTTATTCTAAAATATACACTATCTGTACAGCTCGTTGCTTACTTTTTTTATTTCTTACATGCAACCAAACTCTCACGTAAATTATCGTGGACAATGGGACGTTGTAACTCGAGAGATAATTTTTTCGACATTAGAGACTGCGGTCTATTAAAAGATAAATTATTAACTAACAACTAAAAGTAATCGTAATTTTGAGACATTAAAGGATTGTCGAAAACCAGTTCTTTAATTTGACATTAACTTTATAATTGTAAGTTACATAGAACGAGTTATAAGCCGTCAAAAAAGCACAAAAACGTCCTGCACGGTGGGGTTGCACCTTAAGGCTGAGCTAGCTCACAGGTTCTGCATTGTGTAGTCGTGCCTCTGCAACATGCCAGTGTACTGAAATGCCACTATAATGTCCTAAGTGAAAATAAACTGGAAAAGGCGTCTTCAGTGCCGTTGCACCTGCGAGCATAACACATCCTCAGTCACTTTAAAACCCTTCCCTTCACGTGCACTGAACACACTTTGCGAGATGGGATATATAGTGGAAAGGTGGCAGCGTGCCTGGAAAGTAAATGTGACGACTCAATCTGAAGTAGGGTGCTCCCGATTTCGAATGAGCATGCATACAAGCAATCTTTATTGTGCATTGTTTCTGAAATACCCTTTCTAACAAGTCTAACCTCTTTGGTCCATGTTCACATGCAGTGGTATCCAAGTATCTTGAGTTGCAGATGTTTGACACCGATGAGGGCAGCGTGTACGCTCCGACAGTGAACACGTACGACTTGCTCTGCTGGCGAGTATGTCACTGTTGACGTGCACAAGTTTGTGAATGTGTCATCAGAAAGGACAGGTAAAGCTTCTAGATTGTTTCACCACATGCTACGGTCTGACTTCGGAAAATGACATTGTTGCGTCATTCTTCCAGCGGCCTACACGGTTGATCAACGCGCCAGCACTGCTCTCCGAGTTCGACCTAGCAAAGATGGCCGATCGGATATACGTGCTCAGTGCTGCCAGATGTCCGAGCGATTTCACATATCTCCTTTTCGCCATCTGTCACTCCAGCAGGAAATTCAAACATTGTTTTCTGAAATTGCTTGGCCAGCTTTCTGAAATGCTGATTAAGACATTTGCATCAGTTGCGTTTTTGTGAACCAAATCCACAAGGACACGGCAACAAACGTGACTCATCATTGCCTCACAAAGCTACCTTTTACACTGCTTGTCACATTGTTCACAGTGAACACTTGGCCCAGTGATTCCTCCTCCCCCTGCTCCCCTCTCCTCTCTCTCTCCCTCTCTCTCTCTCTCTCTCTCTCTCTCTCTCTCCCCCCCCCCCCCCCCCCCGTTGTTAATATCGTTTCTTTCTGAAACCATGGCAAAGGCTTGAACCGGACATGTCCATACAATCAATTTCACACCACAAGGAGGCTGCTTCCATGAGTGAACTTTTACACAACTTTCCTACCTCAATTTCTTGACAATGCAGAAAGACATTTGCTGAAAAAATATTTTTTCTGAAGTCAAAAGAATGGACTCCGTGGAGTGAATATGCCGTGGCACATTTGCTTTGAGCACGGCGCACTAACCACTGTCCCCATGCCATGCAGGAAGCAAACACTGCCAGGTGAAATTCGTCACTTTATAGCAGCAAATTTGCTCCATGTAGTCCCACCGTTAATCCCGGAAAAAACATATAATCCAGATTGCCACTGAATATGACAACAGCTAGCACTAAGTAATCAAAGCATAACTGATTGCTCAATGAAAACTTAACATAATTACGAAGACACTCTCGAAAATTAATGACGTGTAGTAAATATGTTTTAATCATGCCCTCATTCCTTTCAACGAACTAATGATGTTGACTTCAGGGTCAAGTGACATGTGTTGCAGCTAAGGGCAGATTTATGTGCCAGGCTTGGGAGGGGGCAGTGGGGAGGGGAGGCGGGCGGGAGAGGGAGGGGAGGGAGGTATGCAGAGATATTTAGTGTCATGGACAGATGTGACATCACGGGCAATGCGTTGCCCATATCCATTTTGTTAACTTAATATTTGCCATCACAAAAAACAAAACATTTCTTGAAAAAAAAAAAAAAAAAAAATCTGTGTGCATTTGAGGAAAGGGGGGGGGGTTGTGAATTTCCCCCTGGTTGCAGTATTCAGAGTAAACCTTCCCTCCAGCACCTCTTTTATGGTGTATCCACGGCGGCGTTCAAATCAAAGCCGTGGAGCGGTTCCGCTCGTTTTTATTATCAGATGAATGCGAAGAATGCATATGATAATACTGACTTCTGCCAAAGCATGCCGGAAGGCAGCCAAAGCATGGCGGAAGACTGGGGGACGTCGGGCATCCAAAAAAGCCATTCTCGTTCAGTCCGCGACCTAGTCTTGGATAGGTCTTGGGTTCAATACCTGGACCAGGCAGAATGTTTTTTTTTTTTTTTCAGTGGCCACCGGACGTTTAGAGGGTGCGAGTTGCACTTAATTTCAGGTGGATGGATGTATATATTCTTACGTAAATCTTCTCCACCTTGGGGACTTCTCCTAAACCATCATACTAATTGACAGCAATCTCTAAACATCTTGAGGTGGAGCACAGAGTAACCCCACAAGAAACAAGGCCTCCTTTTAGAGAAAGACGACCAGTTCGCGCTTTCCACTTTTCGCCCACTTCCTCCTCTTCCTACTTCTAAACTGTTCACCCTTGCCTGTTTTCTCCTCCCTCATGTGTGAGGAGGATCTTCTGCCTTGCAGAATCTTGTGTCTGGTTGTCAGGCTTTAACACAGTCTGTGCCGCTTAGCCGACTCCCTCGACATTTGTGGCGACAGAAGAACACGACACACGGGTACTTTGGAAAAATGATACTTTACTATCGAAACAATATAATAGTTAGGGCACAATGAAAGATGGGGGATAAGAGGAAACACAAGCAGCTGCATTTCTCAGATCAGCAACAAAAACGCACGTACGAGCACAGTCCCGTCCCTTGACAGACGATGGATCGTAGCAGACGACAGATCCTAGCAGACGACGGACCAGAGGTGGCTCGCCAATTTCCCCGGAAACTCGACGCTTTTTTTATCCCACTTCTCGCCTTTGAGCAACAATTCTTCGGATGATGTTCTTTGTCGTTTTTTGACAAGATCTTCCGTTGTTTCACCTCTGCCAAGATTGCGACGAGAAAAACAAAGCGCGCGCAAAACGAGAAGTTATCGCAATTGCTCGTTGTAAAGTCTGAAAATCCACGGAAGGATTCCTCGTGCATTAATACAGAAGTTTGCGCTTGAAAAAAAGGGGTACAAAATAAAAAAAAAATACAAATGTGACGTAACATCAAAACTCAAAAGCAAAAGCTGCCCCTCGGCAGCAAATTGTCGAGAAAAAGAGAGGGCATTCATATCCCAGCTGCAACGGACGCTGACAACAAGCTTCTAAACCTGACCCCGAAAGCGTACGACTGGGCTGCGTATAATAAAAAGAGCTATATATGTAAATTATTGTTTTGCTAAGTAGTAGTCTAAGACATTACGGTGCAACCCCTCGGCTACGTTTCTCGCAAAAAGGAATGTCTTCTCTTCAATGCCCCTTCGGAGCAACGTTCGCCCCGGAGCGCGGCTGCGATCAAATCGCCAACGCGGGACATTAGTGCGAGTCAAAAAAAAAAAAAAAAAGTAAGCAGTCCTCAAACACAAAAAGGCTAGCGTCTCACAGGGCAGCACAGGCCTGTTGCATGCGAGACCCTAAACTCTAGCCGAAAGCGGGACAATAACGAGGGAGTGAGGCATGAACCCGGCTCCTGCAATCCCCGCCGAAAGCTACAAAGAATACAAAAGAAGCTCGAGAGATCAGCAAATTAAACAATGGAAAGAGTTCTCCACCGAGTTGTATGCGTAACCTCCCGGTGTAATCTGAAGCCCATCCCCAAAGAGCAGGTGCCCAATCGTAGATCGGCTCGCCCGAGGAAGCAGACGTCCAACGACCCCCTTCCCCTCCTCCCAAATTTTAAAGTCCGCCCCGTTCTCGCGACTCCCATAAGATGTCACACGCGCTCCGTAGCGGACGCTTTGCAAACAAAAAAAAAGGTTCCAGACGTGGCACACGGAGATAGCCCCAAAGCAAAGCAAGGCACAAATTAGAAAACAAAACGACAGGGCACGAGTCGAGAAAAACCATTCGCTGTGGGACGTCGCGCCTGCTCCCCACCGGTCAGATCAAAGCGTATCTGGGCGGACCGACAGAGAGACAACTCTTCTGCGCGTGGCCCAAGAGCTACGTCTGGGATTATCAGCCGCAAGGCTCTTTTGTCGGGCACTACCCTATGTACAGTGAAATGGGGTCACCTGACCCCCACCCCCCCAAGACCGCTCCCAAAGGTGTTTCCCCCCGCCTGACGTAAAGGCTTCCAATCCAGGTCGTTTCCTTTCTTTTTCGTCTTGCTCTTCCAGACTGCTTCATCCGACTGCACACTGGAATGCTCGGCTGTTCCCTTCCTCTACTATTGCACGACGAGGTGGTTAGTACCTGGAAAGCAATGGGAGCCAATCAGTCAGAAAATTAGTGACTAGCGATGAAACCTGTCCAATCAATTGATCAATCATTGATTTACTGGTGAAACGGAAAAATGGTTTGTCGAGCAATCGTTGCATTCTTGATCAAACACATCAATGAACAATCGCCCAATTCATTAGTCATGATTAGGTTGACTAACAATAAATTGACAGACCAGTGAGCAGTTAAGTAAATTGTTAATGAAACCAGTGAATGAACAGTGGTTGGCTCAACGAGAGCCAATCAAGCAATAAGTCCATCAGTTGTTGACTCGCTATAATAAGACATTTAATTTACCAGTCAATGATTGATTCATAAGTAAGATTATCCCACAATTCAACAAACCAATTATTGATTGCTTGATTGAACCGTTAAGAGAACAAACACTTAATATGAATCAGTCAAATAAACTGACTTACTGAAAATAAATCAATACACCACTGACTGGCTGAAAAGTTTTCATGAAACCAATTATTGCTCGACTAAGACATTCATCCAACCGAGCAATCAAAGCGACCATCAATCAAATGAAAAACTTTCAGCCCAAAGCAAGCACCACGCAACTAACAAATTAATTAATTTAGGGAGGATTCAAAACGATCGATCGAGCAAGCCAAGAGAGTGCAAGAAAGTCTGGGAGGGTTTTAAGAGAGGGACTGTGGAAAAGCATCGAGAATGGCAGAGAAACAAGCCTCTAGGGGACACTCCTGGGGTTAGCAACTCTACAGTGACGAATGCAACAAGAAGCAGTTTTGGTTACAACGGGGCTGTGACAGGGGGTTCTGACAATTAGGTTTCCTATAGGACAATCAACAGGCCTGTTTCCTTGCCAGACACGACGCACTCGGGAAGAGTTGCTGTGCTTGTAGGCTTTTCTTCGCAGATGTTTTGGTCTTCGGTAATAGCATCGAGGCTGAATGCAATGAACAACCATATGTATATGTCCGATTCTTTTGTAACTGAAGTTGTTCTTACATCTGTGAACGTGTGTGTGCTACCAGACAGAGCAGTACTATCATTATTGCTTAACAAATCAATTCATCAAAAATTTCTTTATCTGAGTACCAGCACTGTTCAGTATAAAAAAACGCATGTTTTGCTGCTTTGCAGTTTGTAATACTAATGTGACAATTTTCGAGTAGTCAAATGGCACAAATAGCAGGTTAAAAGCGCTGCATTAAGGGCATTCCACGCATAATCTGCCACAAGCCTGGTATCATTTTGTGAAATGACATGCTGCAAACTTTCCACATGCACTGTGGAAAGTTTACAATTACAAAACCAAGAAAGAATCACAGTGGTCAACTTAGCACAGAGCATCACACCTGCAGTTGAAAGTTTAATGCGAACAAAGTTGGAGCTCTGAAAAAGTCGTAAGCACTTAAATATCAAGCCTCTGCATTACAGGCAAGAGTCATATCCTCTCACATAAATCTAAAATGCTATATGTGCACTAGCCTATATGCTGACCTTATACTCAAAAACACACTCCGTAAGTTGGAGTAACCAGATTTGTCTAACTTGACAAAAAAATAAAGCTTGCTCCAGCAAGAAAAAAGTTACATTCTGTGCAGTGGCCTTAAACAAGGGGGAAAGGTATATCAGAGTATGAAATTGTTTTATAGTCTCAGAGAAGTCCTGCAACAAGCATGCATTGGTAAATGGCCCAGGATATCTTATTTACCCTAATAATTCTTGGACTATTAACAAATGGCCCCTGCATTCGCTTTTTCACAGATTATGCATACAGGCAGGACAACCTCGGAACAATCTCCCAAACGGTCCAATTAAAAAAAGAAGCCAATGACATTAACAAAAAAAAAAAAAATTCAATCTGTACTGCAACACAGATCTTGGCATTTTACACAACAATCCAATGCAGATTACTTTTTAGGAACAAGCAGTTTTTTGGTCGTAGTTTTAGCTGGGCTTATCAGATTGTAACGACCAGCTACACTTTACAGGAAAGCAGAAATGTAAGCCTTTTCTCAACAATGTGTAAATTATTCAGTTGTATGCACGGTAGAATCGATGCCCAAGATCACACCTCAAAATTAGAGAATCTTTTGTGAACAGCCTAGTAGGGCGTATGCTTCTTGAGCTCTTATTAGATCTAGATGCAAAGAAACTGGTTGGTTTTGCTTTGAAGAGTGGCTCCGATTTTGAACTGCCCTAGGTTCATGTCAATATGGGGATACAAGTTTGGAGCTCAACTGCTCTACAAGCTTGTATTTCAACTAAAGTTCCGTGTTTCCGCGATCCGTTTTCTTCGAAACTGAGGGTGTCTTTTCATGGTTGGTTTTTTCCTACAGATTCAGTGTTTCTCGGTGTCTACAGGGTGTCCCAGGCGAACCTCCTGCTGTAAAACAAGCCAGAAAAATCGACGCCTACACATACAAAGCTCAAACTTTCACCGAATGAGCAGCGAGGAGGTCCCTTTTACCATGCAAAATTTCAAGGTGCAGTTCTTTTCCTGTAAAAAATTAGAGCAAAGATCTTGCCAAAGTCAAGGTTGGGCACGTTCGCAGACGACCGACTTAGCGAACGCCATTTACTCGGGGTGCCACCTCCCCATAGGTGCAGCAAGCAGACAACAGTATGCGTCGTCTGCTCACCGCACCCATCAGGAGATGAGGTTACAAGTAAATAGCGTCGCTAACTCGGTCGTGTGCAATCGTACTGAACATTGACCTTGTTGGCAAGGTATTTGCTCTCATTTTTTTACAGGAAGAGAACTGCACTTCAAAATTTCGCACGGTGAAAGTGACTTGCTCAGTGCAGATTCGGAAAAAGTTAGAGCAGTCCATGCACGGGCACCAATTTTTCCAGCTCGTTTTACAGCGGAAGGTCTACCCTGTACACCCTATATTTTCGGGGTTGGAAAAACATTGGCATTTGTCGGGGTTTGTATTGAAGAAAACAGGACATGGGACTCCCCAACCTCCAGGGTATGTGCATGTGACCTAAACACTTAAAAAAGACCTGGTGCCGATAAGAGAAGAAACAAGAGAAGGGGCATGCTTCCCAAAGAAAGCAGCAGCCCTGCGGACACCTTAGTGGGAGTAGCGTTCCAGGTCAACACAAAATACAGTCACAGAAAAAGATTTCTTTCCGTGAAGCTTGGCTTTTTCGTATTAATTAAAGAACAGCTTCTAATCAGGGTTCTCCATTTTTCTTCCCAATTTCGAGAAAACTGCCATAGGGAATTGCTTTCCGGAGTTCATCGGTATGTATACCAAAAACACGGAACCCTAATAATGCCTCAAGGTACGGTTGTAGCTCGAGCGGACGTGCGAGAGGGCTGGGACGGTACCTGTAGTAGTTGGGCTTGAAGGGACCTGCTTTGTTGAGGCCCATGTACTTGGCTTGGTCGTCGGTCAGTTCGGTCAGGTGGGCGTCAAAGGTCGGCAGGTGAAGGCTGGCCACGTACTCGTCTGCAAAAGACGAGAAAACCTCCCCCAGGTCACTTTCGTGCAAACAGTCTTGTCTCGTTAATATGAACCCCATTAATATGGGCACCCGCATAGTATATAAACACAGAGGATGAACTGAGTAAATACAGTATTTACACGATTGTAAGTCGACCCCCCCACATTGCACATCAGCAAAAAAAACAAAAAAATCTTTATATGGGTATTTGACTGCGAACACGTGAGAACGGCAAAATATCCGTTTCGAAAGCAGAGCCTCCAACACGCGATCAATGCCTTCTGGCGTGCTTTGGCTACGCATGCACACGCAAGGTGCATAAGATGCCCAGGCGTTATCGAAATTAGGAAGTTCACACAGGAGACGGGATAGCTGAAGCTGTTCACTGTCATTCTCACTCCGTCCGCGACTTGACTACGACTCGTCCGACTCGTCCACACTGGTGATGTCAGCCCCGTCGTCATCACTGCTACGTTCTCGAAGCACGTCGTCTGCGTTGTCCAACGAAATCTTGCACTTCCCAAATGACAGGATGAACCGTATCTTCCGCGCTTGCTCGGCAATCGCGATGAACGTCACGGGTAGGGACCGATTGCACACTTGCGGCGTACGTTGCAAGCCTGACCTCTAACTCTGGAAGGCACCCTCGCTATCCAGACTTTGGCCTCCGAAAGCCTCTTCGTTTGCCATCACAGTTTAAGATGCCGCACAACTGCAGACTCCACTGGAGCATCACCCGCTCCGACTAGCTCTGACAGGTCGAACTTCCGTCCAACAGCGCAGTTGTTGGTTGCTTCCGAGTGAAGAATAGCCATAAACAAGCACCGAAAACCTAAACTGCCCAGATCACTCGTTTAAATCCAAAACAACGTTTTTAGCGCTCCAGCATTACCTTATCACTCGATCAAACAATGTACGACCGTGAATCGTGCAGAAAACTGCGAAGAGAAGCCGCGGCAGGAGTACGCAGGCATAGCCTTCCCAAGCGAAGCGTACCAGACACGTGATTTGTGACGTATCTCCATTATCTCACGTAGAGATTATTTTCCGCCTGAAAAGCTCTATAGATGGCACTAGCTGTACCCAAACACGCGTGACGCACGCTCGCCCAAACGCGTACTGCTCTATTTTCTTTCTTTTTTTCCTTGCTTCATTTGTCGTTATTTGGAGAGTTGTGAGTACTCGTGTATAGTCATACTTAAAGTGAGCCCATCAAATATATGTTTCAAAAAGAAAAAGTACCTTGTTGTCTTTATTGGCACTTAAAGTGCAACAAAACATATGTACACTGTTTTAGGGCATGTGAAAGTCCTTCAGAACGAACTCTGGTCCTAAAGATTCGGCAAACGAGAACAGAGATCGCTTGCCTTTTTGCCAATTCTTCAAAGAAGTGAATTCTAAAAGCCTCTCTTCCGTAACCACAAAAAAAAAAAGGTGAATTACAAGAGTATGAATTAACGAACAAGTTTCAAATGAAAATAGGTGAAAAAATAAACAACTGTCAAACTATAACGTTTATGAGTGCAAGGTTTCGAAAATCAATTTCTATCTGAGGTAAAAAAAACATTATGCATTTTAACAAATAGGATAGTTCAACTTCAACGGTTAACATGACATCAAAAAGAATTGTGATATGCGTATTCTTTCTGAGACAGTTTCCTTTGGGCTCCCCAGTTAAAAATACCCATTGACTCCAATTGGAATTTCAATTGGTACCAATTGGTATCAGTGGGATCCAATTGGTATATAGACAACCAATTGGCCATTCCAATTAGAATGCATTTTCCCAATTGGTCACACCAATTGGAAATATATATACCAGTTGGTCTTAATCAACCAATTGGTCATTCCAATTGGAACACATTTTGCCAATTGGTCACTCCAATTGGAAATATATATTCTAGTTGGTATTAATCAACCAATTGGCCATTCCATTTGGAATGCATTTTTCCATTTGGTCACTCCAATTGGAAATATTTATTCCAATTGGTACAAAACAACCCATTAACCATTCCAATCATAGAGTTTATGATTCCAATTGGAAATTAATTTTCCAGTTGGTATTAAGCAACCAATTGGGACAGTTTAGACTCTCTAAAAGAAAACTCTGAAAAAACATGTTTTTTTCAAAAATTTGTTTTTCGAAAAAAAAAAAAAAAAATTTCGTGTTTTTTTTATTTCTCTGGACTTAATATATATATATATATATATTATCTATTATTAATTTAATGGCTTTTCGTTTTAGTAATTCTTTTTTTAGTTTTACTAATAGTTTCGATTTCAAGGTTGGAACGCCCCATCGCTAGTGACACCAATAGTAGTTTGTTTTTTCTGAGAGCATGTGTGTGGAATTCGACTAAGGGGGATGTGAAAATGTGACATTTTCATCAAGTTTACCAACATTTGACGTTTTTTTTTGTTTTAATCAATGTGTCCAAGAAAAGCCTGGGGGAACCGCAACATGCTGGGGTTAGCCAGCAACTCCGTTCTGCGGCAGCTGCGGTGAGCGCGATTTTTCTCTTTGTCCTTCGGACTCCTGAAGCAAGTTCTGAATATTTTCACGTGGTCAACCTTGTTTGCTAAAGTGTTCTTTTACCTGCTTTGTTTGCTTTTACCTGCTTTGTTGTTTTACCTGCTTTTATGCTTGGAACTGTTGCCGCACGTCCGCGTTAGGGAAAAAGTTAGCCATGCGGTGCACACATCGCATTGTAAAACGCTTTCCATTGCAGCAAACAGTTTCTAGTGTCTCACTATTTCCTCATTCAGTAATTGAGCCTTCAATATATTTGCTGTTTTTCTTTAGGTTGCTCTTAACACCCTTTTTATTGCCACGTGTTGCTTGCAATATTTGCAAATTATTAAATGCTTCCATTGTGCAGAATGCAGCTAGCATGCTATCATAAATATTCATTTGAATATGGACAGCTGTAAGAATAAAGCTAGCTCTGCTCTCTTTGCAATCAAAGGCATGTGTATCCTCACACATTCAAATAATGACAATTGTATCCTTTCCGAGACCCAGTGTGCACAGAACGAATAGTTCTTTGCAGTCAAAATTGTTGAAACGAATGGTCGCACTGCAAAGCCTTGGCTCCAAGGCAAAGCGCCGGCCTACGGATGCCCAGGTGGCGGGCTCGAATCCCGGCCGAGGTGCCCGCAATTTGATGGATGCTTATTGCAGAAAAGGGTCCGTGTGACCATGCTTTCGGTTACATGTCAAAAGATACTAAGGTGGTCCCATTAATTCTCAAACCTCCACTGGGGCGTGCCAGACGCCCCATTGGTTGGCATGTAAAAACCCCAAATTTGACTGACTGCAAAGCTTTGGATCCCCTCTCAGCTGATAACAGCATAGTAAATTTCTCTCACCAGGTATGTAAAAAGGGACTAATTTTGATGTAGAAGCTCAAGATGGCAGAAAACTACCGAATTGAACAGACAACACACAACTCTCTGCTGCCAGGTGTGTTAGACTTGTGAGCCATTTATCCTTCCAAATTTTTTGACAAGCCTTGGATCACTATCATAATTCAGAAGCCCATACTAACTTATTATCCTTATTATCTAGCTTTCATTGATTTCTATGCTTTCATGTTTTACCCACGTCATGATACCGACTGGCATTCCTGCTAATGTACTCCTTGTTCCATTGTTCATTTCAGAATTTCAAGCCTGAAGAATGCAGCTCTGATTTTAATAGATTAAAATCCAGTTTGTGCCTATTTACAGTGTCTGCAGACCATCCAGGGAACAAGTGTTGTCCAAGAGCATATCTGCATAATAACTGCGGGGGGAACGCTAAACAAATGCTCAAGGACGTCATAATGTCTCTCAGGAATCGTCCTACTCTCGGTAGAAGGAAAAAGAAAACTCCTTTTAATTTTGCTTGTTTCTCATATCTTGCAAAGGTGTTTGGCACCATTTAGTGTGACTGCAAAGAACTCATTAAAAAAAAAAACTAGAAAAGATGTGTTTCTAAAATAATGTGTTATTTCAGAACAAGCTTCAAATGTTTTGTATATAGTAAAACCCTATTTGTTAGGAACATATCAAACTGGCATATCTAGACGTACTTATGTGAGACATGCTCAATTTGAAATTTCATTTGGGAGTTCTACCTTTGGCTGTGTTAATTGCTAATGCATCAGAAAACCAATTTCTCTTGCTAGCTATCTTTCTAATTGGTTATAGTTTGAATTAAAAGTGTATGAACTGGCGGTTTTTCTAAAGGGAATCTCAGACCAATTGGAGAAATACCAATAGGTGACATTCACTTGACGTCACTCGCTAGGTTCGCTGCCATCGCCCACCGCGGTCGCCATCTTCGAGGTCTCTTGCTATCGCGAATGCCATCTGGCCGGACCTTTTGAGCGTGGTTTAGCAGTATTTTACAACCTTAAAGGGTCTTTTTGATCGAAACTAGGGGTTATTCTTATACTTTGGTACTTCTGAAGCGTTGTGGGAGTATGTTTTGTGTGTTTTAGTTTGTTTTTGTCGCAATCGGACTCGTTTACCGCGGCCGCGTTGCTCCCTCGGCTCCATGAAGCGCTCCGTGTCGCCCGCCGTGCCGACGGCGGTAGCTCTTGCAAGAACTAATTTTTCTACTTGGGTGCTTTTGCAGCACGGTGTGATTACTCTTTGTTATGTTTTGCTAGTTTCATTATTGTTTTTCTCTAGCTGATTTTCTGTACTACGGCCGTGTAACCGTGTAGCTCCATCGCCGCTGTGTCGTACATACGTCGTGCCCTCGGTGTTCGTTCCTGTGCAGAAACATACCGTGCGGCTCACAGGGTGCGCAGCTTATAAAAAATGCGGCGCATTTTCATTAGCCCAAGCGATTTAAAAACCGCATGTAAGCGATTTGGCGCGCGGGGAGACAAGCGACGGCGACCCGCTTCGCTGCCGCTCGGTCACTCGCGCGACGAGGCAAACCGCATGAAAGCGACGGGAGGACACGACCAAGGCGAGGAGCGCTAAGTTTTCTAGAAATCCCAAAACCGAGCTACGCGACGAGTGACAGTGAAGGGTGAACCGCATGTAAGCGATTTAGCGAGCGATGGCGACAGCGACGGGAGTCGGCGACGAGCGACGGGGGTCGGCGACGAGCGACGGAGATTTCTCGCGGTCGGTCGTCGCGTCGCTTGGCTTTTGGATTTCTAGAAACGGTCGCTTATCGCCTTGGTTTGCCACGTCGCGCGAGTGACCGAGCGACAGCGAAACGGGTCGTCGTCGCTTGTCTCGTCGCTGTCGCTCGTCTCGTCCCGTCGCTCGCCAAATTGCTTACATGCTGTTCAGCCTTTACACACGGTATACTTGGCGGCAACAAGGAAAACGGCCTCCCCCCCCCCCCCCCCCCCCTCCCCGAGACCAACTTTTCTTCTCTCGTCTGTTCAACGAAGCTTCAACGATAGGAAATTAGCACACACTAGCAGCGGACGACTGCGTAGCGTACCCAAGCCAGTCAAACCGAGACCTCGAAGATGGCGGATCGACGGTGGCGCTCCCTGGCAAAATCGAACCTGCAGGCTCAGTGAATACCACCTATTGGTGTGGTTCCGATTGGAACCATTCTAATCGGAACCACAGCAATTGGTATTTTTCCAATTGGGCGTTCCAAAACACAGTCGGTTATGATTCCAATTGGAAAAAAAGCAATTGGTACATTTCCAATTGGGTGTTCTAAAACACAGTTGGTCATGGTGCCAATTGGAAAAAATCCAATTGGTAATATTGAACCAATTGGCATTTTTTCCAACCGGGCGTTCCAAAACACAACCGGTTTTGGCAATAGGTACCAATTGGAAAATCCAATTGGACCCAATGGGTATTTTTAACTGGGTCGTGAAGATGACCAACTCAAAATGAGCCACACATATCCCCTTCTGCAAATTGTTTTATCCGAGTCTTGAATAGGTAAATCCTGGTGTGCTTCAAGATCCACTGACCACTCCCAGAAACTTGAGCATACATATTCGTACAAGAAATCATCCTTCGGTAATAAGCGCTAAGAGAGAAACTTTAAGAGCTAAATTGGAATCGCCACTCTACTTTGCAGCGCAGTATCTACACAAACCGTTAGAAAGCTCAATCCCATTTCTCCCTAGTTTTAACAGGCAACCAAAACAGTGCGGGCATCGCACGAAGGCCGTTGGTAGGGGCGAGGAGCAGACGAGCAGACGCCAGACGCCCCACGCGCTCTCGCCAGAAGCGGCGGCAGGCATCGGCGCGACCTCAGCGCCTTCGCAGCCTTTTGGTGCGTTGCAGCGGATGCGAGAACCCTTCATGTAAAGATCGAGGGCAGAACCTCCACCAGGGGAGAAATAAGACGCTGTCGGCCTCTAGCGACATTCGTTTGAGCCGTGAGGCTGTTCCAGCGGCCTCCGGAGTGGCTCTTACAAGAAGTGCCGCCACTCTCAGGAGTCAGGCACGCACGGCGCGCCGTGCGCTGTTCATTCGGGTCAATTTGAGAATTGCTATCAATAATACTCGTTCGCGCAAATAAAAAAAAAATTATTTTGTAAAATGAGTGCACAAAATAGCGCAATGCTAGAGGTATACCCGGCTGAACTTGTAAGAAGCCGAGGTGTTCATGATATCGTGATTGTTTCGTTTTTGCCAGCGGTGGAATGCTTTGGTCCGATTATAAATCAAACCCCTCACTTCGGATTTTCAAAAATTGAAAAAAGGGTCGCCCTATGTTTGTGTAAATACGGTACATGCATTTTTGTCTAGTTATTATGAACTACTCGCATTGGGGATGCTTGTCTGGAGCAAGGGAGGTGTTCACATTATTTAGCGTATCTATCATCGCCTATGCCTCACAACGAGGGCGGCACATCCTCGCGTTTACTCGATGCAAAAGTTGCAGCATTCTTGCAGCCTTTCTTCTACGTCTGCAGATGAATATGACCGAAAACTTTCCCACACAGCATGCAGAGAGCCAATCGTTGTGATTTGTAGAAGAAAACCAGTGAATGATGGGACACAGGTCATGTCTGGATCAAGACTGCATTCTGTGCTCCGATTTGGAGCGTGTCAATGCCGTGCCTAGCATATATTGGGCCAGATAGGTCACTGTATGACTCCAAATGTTACCTGGGCCTTCTCTTTCTTGGTTCCTTCAATAGATTTCAATGACTGGCTGTTAACTTACTACGCAGGCATACAAGCTCAGTTCAGGAAAGACAATGTGTGAATTACTAGTTAATGTGGTGCCTAGCTGCAAAAAAGAGTGGTGTGTTTTTCAGAGGTCGGCATTTTAGGTCGCCCTCACTCACCCTCACCCTCGCAGCCACACTCACCTAGGCCCCTCACTCACCCTCACCCTCACAGCTACACTCACCCTCAGCCCCTCACTCATCCTCATCCTCACAGTCACACTCACCTTCAGCCCTTCACTCACCCTCACTGAACCTCACGGCCTTCACGCACTCACCGCCCTCACGGCCCTCACCGCCCTCACGCCCCTCACTCACTCATGGCCCTCACGCCACTCACCGCCCACACGCCACTCACCGCCCTCACGGCCCTCACCGCCCTCACGGCCCTCACGCACTCATAGCCCTCACGCCACTCACCGCCCTCACCGCCGTCACGGCCCTCACCGCCCTCACGGCCCTCACGCACTCATAGCCCTCACGCCACTCACCGCCCTCACCGCCCTCACGGCCCTCACGCCACTCACCGCCCTCACGCTACTCACCGCCCTCACGCTACTCACCGCCCTCACGCCACTCACCGCCCTCACGCCCCTCACCGCCCTTGCGGCCCTCACACCCCTCACGCCCCTCACGTCACTCATGGCCCTCACGCCACTCAGGCCAGCTTCAGATGGGGCAATTTCGCCCCAAATTTTTACGTCACAACACCAGCACCACGGGCCGCCCGCGATCACACGCAGCAACCAATTGCTGCAATTTGCCATCGTCATCATAAAACTTTATTTTTCTTGCACTATTTAGACACAATTACGCGTTATAAACGTGTTTTTATGCATTTAAATCTCGTTAAGAATACTAATGCACCTTTCTGAAACAGTTTATTTCCAAAAAAAACGATCTATTTCAAACCAAAACCAAGTCTTTGGGTGTCATCACCGTCACCAGGTATCACGTGAAAATTTTGCGTCCCTGATTGGATGCAGCCGCTTCAAACGTATTCGAATTGCTCCGAGTTGCTTGCTTATTTCGAGCCGGACCCGATCTCAGCAATTCGTGTCGATCTAGGGAAAGCTAGAGAACAACCCGCCATTAACACCAAAATTGCTGAGAAAGATGCTCGATCTGAAGGGCGCCTCACGCACTCACCGCCCTCACGCACTCATGGCCCTCACGGCCCTCACCGCCCTCACCACCCTCACAGCCCTCACCGCCCTCACGGCCCTCACGGCCCTCACCGCCCTCACCGCCCTCGCAGCCCTCACCGCCCTCACCGCCCTCACGTCCCTCACCGCCCTCACCGCCCTCACCGCCCTCACCGCCCTCACCGCCCTCACCGCCCTCACCTCCCTCTCGGCAATCACGGCCCTCACGGCCCTCACCGCCCTCACGGCCCTCACGGCCCTCACAGCCCTCACGGCCCTCACCGCCCTCACCGCCCTCACCGCCCTCACGGCCCTCACGGCCCTCACGGCCCTCACTCACCCTCACTCACCCTCACTCACCCTCACGCTCATGAATTTTCCTGGTTCAGAAACTCACTCACCCTCACCTCACCTGTGAAGATGAGGGTGAGTGAGGGTGAGTGAGGGCCCTCATGAGTGAGGTTTGCCGAGGTATGGTGTTTTTATGATTTGCCTAGTAAAAAAAGATGACAAATATGAGAGGAGGAAGAGGGAGGGGCAAAAAGAAGAAGAGGATGGAGGTGGAGGAGCACTCATACCCATCTTCTTCGGCAGGAGGTAGACATCGCTCTTGTAGCGGCCGTGAGGGGCGTTGTAGAGCTCGATCAGAGCCAAAGCTTGAGTTGCCGCAGTAATGGACACCACAAAGGATGGGATACTGGAGCAGCTCAAGTTCACCAAACGTCCCTGCACACAAACAGCACAGCATGCCCTCATTGAATATGGAGTGGTGTGCCACATTTCACAATGGCTTCTGCTCACTGATGGATTCAAAGGTAAACTTGTTCATTCAATATATTAATTTAATTGAGGTTAATAAATGCAGTCCTGAAAAAAGGGCCCTCTTCCATGTGTAGGAAGTTTGTAATATGTTTACTGTCAATTGCACTTTCGTGCATACAAATAAGACTGTTCACTTGGGCAGGAATTTTGCGTACCACAAGTAGGAAAGATTGGTCATCTGTAACAGGTATTAGTTGCTTTTGCTTTTTATTTAAATTAACATGGTTTACATTTCATGATAAAAGCACCATCTACAGATTTTAATTTACCCAATTATGACTAAAGATTTTCAAAAATTGTATAGCAAATTGCTGGGCAATTGTGTTGCTTACATGAAACGCTCTAGCATCACGTCACAACAGGTCACATAACATATATTTCCCCGCTAAATTTAGCCGGGAAACTGAATTGGTCTGTAGGCCAAGTGACATCAATTTTCCCACTAAATTTAGAGGAAAAACTATAAAGCCGTATAGGTCATGTGCTTCAGGTCACGCGACGTCAATTTTACCACTAAATTTAGCTGCGAAACTGCATTGGTGTGTAGGTCACGAAACGTTAATTTTCCCGCCAAATTTAGCGGGAAATTGACATCACATGACCTATACACCAACTCAGCTTCCCTGCTAAATTTAGCGGAGAAACTGAATTGGCATGTATGTGTCTGTGACATCCCATAATGCAACACTGCATGCATTGCATTATGGGACATCACAGACGTACACACCAATTCGACTTATACTAAATTTAGCGGAGAAGCTCAATTGGTGTGTAGGCCTGTGATGTCCTATAATTCAACACTGAGTGTGCTGCATTATGGGACGTCACAGGCAACGGCTTCACAAAATCTGGCTTCACGAAAAGTGGCTTCACGAAATCCAAAGCAACTAGACAAAAACGTTTCAAGTTAAAATGTATGGCAAATTACAAGGCAATTGTGTTGCATACATGAAATGTAAGTGTTTAATCGCTCAGTGCTTACACTTTTTAGAAAAGCATGTTGATGTTACTCCATATAGTGTGGGATTAGTCTCTGGAGCTCAAACTCAAGTGTCTAACATCTTTGCTCACGCTGCCCATCACCGAGATTCCACACAGCTAAACGCCTACGTTCACAGCGCTCTTTGTGAGATAACTTAGCACTTATAGCAGTTCCTGGAATGATGAGTTACCATGTACCATATTAACTTATAGCACTTCCTGCAATGAATCTTACCTCGCTCAATCATGTAAACACCTCCCCTTCACCCACCTTTAGCGATGTGACCTCCCCCGCTAAAGTGTTAAGCTTGCTCCATCGGTGCGCAGGGGGTAGAACTCCTCCTCACCCACCTCTAGCCATGTGACCTGCTTGGTTAGCTACTCAGCTTCGAGCCTCCTTCGTTCTTTCTCTCCCTCCGTCAGCCAATCAGCGTCAAGCTTTGCAATCAATTTACTTTTTGGGCTTCACGAAATGCTGAGCAACTAGCCAAAGAATGTTTAATGTGAAAACAAACAGACCTACAACTTCCACTATTGCCAGTAACATTAGTTCAGTCAAGAGCTTCACCGAAGATCATTATATGCCACTCGACAATGCACCGCATGTTTTCAATACCATGAAACCAGACTGCTTCTGGATACAGCGAGCCAGTAAATAACCGGCACTTCAGAATGTCGACCCTTCAGCCTTCTTGCTGCTAAATGTCATGTTTTGGCCCTTACCTAAAGCTGTATCTGAAATTACAGGAAACAATTCTCTTCCCAGACATGTAAAAATTGCTGCAGAAATCGCTATTGTTGGTTATCTATGAATTGCAACAGCATTTGTCTAAAACAACCTCAAGGACAACGTCCAAGATGACGTCAAGGGCATCAAAAATGACCTCTAAGACGCTTTCAAGGACACCCTAAGGACGACCTCCAAGGCGATCTTAAGGACGACCTCAAGGATGACGTTGAGGATGACATGCCAGAGGACGATGCCAAAGAAGGTGTCATAAAAGAAGTCTAAAACCTCTAGAGTAATGTCAAGAACGACGTCAAGGCCCTTCGAAGAGGGCGCTAATGTGAAGCAGTATGGGAATGCGAGCTGAAATGGACTACTGCACATACCTGCTGTGCATTAAGACGCCATAAAGTTCAAGAAATCCGGGCAAAGGGGGGAGGGGGGGGGGTAAAGGGTAGCTAAAGAATGCTAATGCATATTAAAACAGTCCATGGCAGAGAAAATCTATATCGCCCCAGCTTCCCAATGCTGAATCTCCAGCTCAGGGAGTTGGACTTTCAAGTATCAACTATCACCGACTGCACCTGCTCTGTACTTACTTTGAAGCTACGCTTCAAAGTAAAGACACTTCAGACACTTTGGTGCATAAAAGGGGGGTGCAACAATTTTAAAATTAAAAGAATTTGCATCTCGTCATTTATACATTGTTTATCGTGTCCCGGAGGATAGAAAAAACATCTGCTTCATTGAAAAATGTTGCAATTTTGCTGCATAATCGCAAAGCGAAAGTCTATCTTTTTCCAACACCTGCAGCCGCAAGTGGCAGCTGAAGGAACTATGGCGAGAAGCCTACATGACCTTGCTCCACTCTAAGCTGGATCATAACGCCCGCTAATGTCAGCAGAGAGAGGAAGAGGAAGCGTCCTCCGAGAGAGCACACGGGAACATACACGGCACCCCAAATTACGTCACTAGGAATGCAACCAGGTGTGACCCTGGAAACTGGGAGCGAGTTGAGGGGTGCCAGAAATGCCCATATTATCTTTTCTTTTTTTTACACAACAACTAGGACACGCAGGCGAAATCGGTTTTCTGTTCTTTACTTCAGAATTGTCAGAGGGCAACTTCCACAAATTTTTGACCGAAGTCCAAAAATCGTTGCCCCCCTTTAAAATCGTGGCTGTCACTTATTCGAGACTTTATCTGAAATTGCAGGAAACGTCTTTCTGTCCTCCAGAAATGTTAGAACAGTTTGCAACAGAGCGAAATGATATGATCAGAGTTTCCTACCACCATTCTAAAGCTGTGGAAATAGCTTTTAATTATGTCCATCGACAGTTGCGCCTGCTCTGCTCACCAAGATAGCGGCGCCCACTAGCAGACTGGGTAACGGAGTGCCTATACCCTAAGCGTAGCTCATTTAGTGGCTCTAGTGGTGCCCACAAGATAATCAGGGAATGATGTGCCAATAATCTAAGTGTAGCTTATGTAGTGGCACTGGGTATAACATCTCTAAAAGTAGCTTATGCAGTGGCCCTGGGTGTAACTCTGACAGTGAATCGGAACGGTAAAAAAACTCACTGCAGCAGACAACCACTCACCTCAGCAAGCAGCACAATACGCTTTCCGTCAGGCCAGATGATATGGTCCACCTGCGAACGCACCTTCTCCCAAGCCAGGTCGGGAGTGCGTAGGCTTTGCTGCAAGGGGCCAAACATTTGCCTGAATAAGCGTGTAATTGGCAGAAAGCACTAAAAAAACTCCAATGCAAAATGGCATTAACCCCTTAACCGTATTGGACGAGCCTAGCTTGTCATTGTGGAGCCGTCCCCAAAACCGTTCAGTATAGCTCGTCTGCTTTCCTCAGTTCACGCACTCAGCTGTTTTGGACGAACCAGGCTCGCTCATGGCTCAGTTTGCGGCTCCGCCAAAAGATGGCAGCACTAAATTTTCTCAAGTTTTGCTCCTATTACGTTTGTGGCTAGAAATACGATTTTGAAGGCAACAAATTTGATTTTGAAGACAATAATTAACCAGCTGAGGGTCAGAAACTTCTAAAAACTAAAAAAGGTTAACCCGAACGCAAAATGGCACTAGGGAGTTTCAGTAAATCTTTTAGATAACTCCGATAACAATTTCTGTTAACGGCGCGATGTGTGCGCAAAAAACATTGAAGTACCTGGTACCACTTTCAGAGCTGTCTGCATTATCCACTAAAACTCCCTATTAACTCTAATGCCAACAGGCATTCATCTCTAATGCTAAGAGGCATTATTATCTCAAAAAGTTCAAGACAACGATATTACGGAAACAAACAATACCAGATATACCAGTGATAATATACAAAGCACGACAAAGTATAAGCACAAAATCGCAGCCTTTGCCCCCTTCATTTCTCGGAACGGAAAGGCCGGTATTAAACTACTATAGACCACGACAGCTTAGAAAAGCACAGGGTGTGGCTTACTGGGCTTATGCTTCTCGCTTTGCGGTTCGTTTCTAGGCATTCTTGTCTGCCAACACCGCAATTTAGTTGGCTGTACAACAATAATAAAGTGCTCGGGAGTCGCCACGCCTTTCCGAAGCCGTCAATGACTTTAGTGTACAAGTTGCAGGCAACTCTCGGTGATCCAAAGCATCTGACTGCCTCCCAAAATCCAGCCGACCCTATAATACACACATGCACTTTTACCCCCCCCCCCCCCCATCCCTCCCTCCCTCCCACCTGCACCCCAAGTCATGGACATCCCAGACACCTGAACTCCTCAAAAGAAAAAAAAAATATTCATGGCTGTTCTTTTGGTAACATAACAAAAGTGTCGTTCATAGTATCCGTTTTTTTTTTTTTTTTTTTGTTTTTTACAAAACTAATGAACTGAGTATGGTTCTTGACAATCTCTCTACCTTACCTCATCCTGTCACTAAAAATATTTCCTGTTACAATTTATAAGGACTCCCAAATTAATTTGTTTTAACCTTGATCAAAGAAAAGAAAATATGTTAGCAAATGTGTGAATGCTGTCCCAAGCAATCATTACCCAAAGCAAGATTTGCTAAGACTTAATCTAAGACATTTTGCATTCAGATTCTGAGTGAAATTCCTTAACTACTGGGGATGTGGACCACACATAAAATATGCTCTTATATATATACGAGTTTTTGCACACCACATCAATTTCCGTGTTGGAGTGACCCATGTTGCAAACGATGCAGCTGTTCTTCATCTTGTCCATATGCTCTCGCAGGACCACATTCTTGTTTCCTGGTGAGCAGAAAAGAAGCAAAATCGGATCATGCTTTACTCTTCAAATACTACAGCTTAGAGAAACACTGTCCATTGTGATAACTAGAACGTAAAGAAAACTGCTTAGCCATACCTACGCAAACGCAGGTAAAGCATGGCTACTTTCATACAGGGCATACGGAGGCCGGTCATTTATGAAAGAAGACCGCCCAACGACCAACCACCAGTATTGTTGAGGCTCAAAAATGTACAATCTGCTCTTATGAAATGCCATGTTCGTTGTCAGCTCCTCGTTTTACAGACTTGTTTTACAATAGAAACATTCCTTATAAACATGTCACTCGAGTTTCGATTGAAAACGTCCGATTTATCTCCAATGTACGTATATTTCACTTGTCGCAACTGACTAACGTGGTGCCAATAAGCCGGACGAACTGTGATGGTGTATTTTTGTTTCTTTTGTCCAGGGGCTCCGGAAGTCAATTCTGATCAGGGGGCAGGGGTCAAGGTACACATCCTTGCAGTGCAGATTCCCCCCCCAACTTTGAAGATCGTACGCGCGGAAAAACCGAAATGGAGGAAGCGACCTTTGTTTAGCTGAAATCTTTTCTGAGTAACAAAAAGAGATCTTCAAAATCTCTAGCACGCAAGAGCATTTCCGTGGCCTCTCCTGTCACACTGAACAAAAGTATGAAAATGATTGACGGATGGCAGAAATGCTTTTCGCGACTAGGCGTCGTGCAGAAACTTCAAGGGGCGCCTCCCATGCTAGGCCAGCTCTGAACCCTCTCCGACCATTATGGGATCAGTCCGCTTAATTGGCACGGTATTGGCATGGCCGAGCTTGAAAGAGCCGATCCCAAGCAAAACTCGTCGAAGAGAGTGTGCAGTCCCTCCAAGGACATATGCTCCAGACTGCTGTTCGTCGAAGCGCTCTGCCAGAGACCGATTCCCCGCGGCAAGAGGTTTTACGTTTGGGAAGGCTTATCCAGAGCCGGAGGGAGGCCTCCTCCCCGCCATCCTTTCTGATGACAAGGAATGGTAGAAAGGTGCCTTTCCTAAGCTGTCCCCGTCCCGCTGCCAGTGATTAAGATGTGACCAATACGCGCGCCTCAAGGCTGGCTCAGAAGAAACGTTTACTCCAGCGCTTAACAGGGGTATCAGCTTTACTACCAATTCTCGTCCCAACAAAACGTCGCTGTCCTTTCTTATTCCGCTTCAAGCTTGGAAGGCGCGGCCTTCAGCGTCGGGGGGGCATGACCCCTACGAAAAAAACATGAGGGGGGGCAGATGCCCCCCCTGCCCCCCCAGTTCCGGAGCCCCTGCTTTTGTCCACGACTGAACCCGGGAAAATATGCGACACCACAAAACTAGACGTAAATATTGTGGAAAGAGGCAAAGTTTAGAAAATGTATGGAGATCACGAGCGACAGTGTAGTTGTGATGTCCACATTAAAACAAATTTTAAGGCCCCAGAAATTATGGCAAAAAAAAAAGTGTGCAACAAAAATTATTTCAAAATCAACCAGTACCAGCTCTATGGTAGAAAACTTTACCAAAGTGATTTTTGATCACAGCTTCGGTATGAATTTTCCCACAGAAAAAAAAAGTCACACTACAATGTTTTTCGAGAATAATTTGAAATAGTACTCAACTAAGCAAAAAGACACTTCATGAATTTAACAACAAATTTCAACACAAAATATGCAAAAGATGAGAAATCAAATCGACTCACCAGTGGCAGTGATGAGAATGTCGATGTTACGAACAACTTCGTTGATCTTGACGACACGGAAGCCGTCCATGCTACAAACATAACAAGAAACGAAAAGACCAGTCGTCAGAGGGTTTTAGAGTCAATGTGATGCTGCCAACACTGTGGGCTTAACAAGCAAATCAGAACACGCTGTAAAACAAATGCCAGAACGTTAGCTGCTGGCCACAAACTTAGCCAGAAAAGCTTGCACACTAGCATGGCAACCATGAGCCTGTTTCAGCGAGGCTAGAAGACCGAGAGGTGTATGCGCACTATTCAATCCTCAGCCCGAGTCTCATTCTTAAAACATAAATTCGTGCTTTCCGACGTGCTCCCCTAATTGTTTTCGTACGTGACTCCTCATCCATCCTCAAATCGGGAGTCGTGTGGAACCATGGTGCCTGGAATGAGTCTCCAAACTGGGAGTTGACCGAGTCCTAAAAAGAGGTGCCTCTATTTGTGCCCATGGTCATGCTGTCACTGGTCACGATTGTGGCCGTGTCACCGCAGCAGTGGTGGATGTGGCAGTCCATGGAAACTTTGGCAGCTGGGAGTCGAAACAGCGCAACGACAACAACACTCGCGTTACCTCGCGCTTTTCGCCGGAACGTCAACGCCCAACCGCCGGGACCGTGACGAATGACAGCACGACGCTCTGGCTTTTGCGACGTCGTCTGTTGCCACTTTGGGACCGCTTCCGACGCGTGGGCGGAACGGGATGCCAAACATGTCGGTCGGTGATGCATTCCAGGCACCCTTAGTGGAACGTACGGCCAACCCGAGTCCCGGTCTAGGAGAGAAACTTGGGGAACCTCACCAGGCCTGGAGTGCACAGATGGGGTCGATCTCTGTGACGTACACGACGGCGCCCATTCCCTTGAGCGCCGAGCAGCAGCCCTTGCCCACCTCCCCATAGCCGCACACCAGCACCTGCTTTCCGCCGAACATGACATCCGTCGAGCGCTTCAGCCTGCGAGGAAACGCGCCAGTCGACGACGCTGAACGGATGCATTGGTGATGCTGCAAAAGTCTTTTGACGAGATGCTCTTCGAGCCTTACTCGCACTAAGGCACCGATACATTCTCTTTGCTCTTTCAGTAATCAAATCTAATGTTCATTGTTCTTCAACAGCCCTGCAGCCTGCTCAAGGGAAAGCTATGTGGTTCTTTGCAGGTAAAGCTGCCCGACGAATCCGATTATGACGACAAGTTGTCCCAGAAATACTATTAAATGTGAGAAAAACATACGAGTAAAGTCGCCGACCGTTTTTTCGGACTCCGATAATTCGGACTTGTTCGATATTTCAGACCTAAAGGTGGAACCGTGACTTACCCCATAGAAATAGTGCATATTCACGACCAATGTTTCGGACAGCTTGAAGTCCAAAAGTTTGATTATTCGGACAAAATCGTCGCGAGCGATCAGCGGGAAACACCACCAAGATGCGGTCATTTTGAATTCTATGTTGGCTGCAAATGGATTGGCTTGGTTTGGCAGCGCTACTTGAGTACTCCCGAGTCCTACCGCTAGGTGACGCTATGCCAGCCCTTTTTTTTTTCCATTTAACTGCACGTCACCACCATCATCATTATCCTTTTGCTTTGTTTCCTTCCATCCCTTCGTGCCTTCGCCCCACTTTCGCGTCGCCAGTCGCCATTTTGCGCTCGTGGATTTGCGCCTCTCATCTTGTTCGGACAACGCTGGCTTGGACATCATGGCCCCCCCTGTTCTTCTGCCACCGCGATGTGTTGTTAAGAAGCGCTGAAAGTACTCGACCATAACGCTAGAAAAGAAGGCAGCGATTCTCAAGCTAACAGAAAGTTGTCGACCGCAAACGGAGGCATAACCTAAAACAAGGCACGCAGGCGTAATCTGAAGCAAGGCATTATTTACGGCTTTTTTAAGCCCATTTAGAAGTATAAAGGCAAGTTTTTCAATCTGCTGATTTTTCGGACTGCTCTATTATTCGGACATTTTTTCGGTCCCTGCAAAGTCTGAATAATCGGGCGGCGACTGCAATCAATATGTACTCTTGACGGATTTCATGCAAAAACATCTGGGCCGTTTGGAGTGATGGGACTTTGGATTTGAAGAGGTTTGCTATTTTAGACAGGAATTTTGTTTCGCAAAAATTACTCAACGATGGCACTTGTTTGGACTTTTTCTGCTTGGCCTCTGTGACGTGCATGCAAGCATCTCACCCTTGTTGCACTGCTCTGTAGTGGATGCTTGGGAAGTATTCGCGACTCCAGCGAAATCGACGCCGCGTAGCGGCAGCGCCGAGAAGCTCAGGAAAGGAGGTCGTTTCGACTCTGTCGTCTGCTATCTCTGCTTGGTTTTCGTAGGCAGCATAGAAACAAACATCGTTTCCAGTAATTATTCTAATGATTCCGCCATGTCGTTCCTACGCACTGACTAGAAGAAGGTTTCTACCGTCGAAAAATCGCTTAGCTTTCAAATAAACACTGATTTTACGCTGCTGTGCAGGAATTTGTGGTGGTCCACGTGCTGAACAATGAAAACGACCTCCTTTCGTCCGCCATTTCGCCTGAGCAGCGCGCCCTCTATAGTTCGCTGGAGTTGCGAATAGTATTGCATACAATGCAGCATCGTGCACCAAATTCATTTTGGATCATGGCCGAAAAGCACTCCTAGTAATGCATATGGCGATACAGAATGTGAACTACACCAACGAAAGCAAACTGCTGCAGTGAATGCGCCCATGGCTACGACTGATCAAAGGCAAAAAACTCACGCATCGAGGATTGACTCTCGGCAGCTGTAGAGGTTGTCAAATTTTGTCTGCAAGGGGGAGCAAAGAGGTCAACAATCAGTTCAAAATTTCTAGATGTGAAGCTTGAAAATTTAAATTTTAAAGAAATCTGTGTTCTTACAAACGTGTTTTCCATTGCAGTTGCAAGTCCTACCCCCCTCCCTTACCCCTGCCCTCTCTCCCTTTAAAGGAACCTTTGATTTCACTCCATACTTTTTAGATGGAATCCCAGATGTTCACAAAATGTAACGAAGTATGCACCAATTGTTACAAAAAATACTGGAGAAAATCCAAAAGCGTTAACCTTCTCAATTCGTCGCCAGAAAACAATTGTCGAATGTTCTTTCATCGGCTCGTGTGCCACCAATGTTCATTAAAGTGAAGGGCCTCCGTTGGGAAAGCACGGAGTACGAGCTGTGTTCCAGACATCATTAAAGTTCAGGAATTTCCATTGTCTTTCCACTTGGCCACGAACGCAAATGTGAGCGCAAGGCGATAAAATAACTGTTGCCGATCGCGAGGCTCTCTGTCCAATTAGTGAGATGCATTCAGTCGTGACGCGTCTGGAACTGTTCGTACCTGGGCAGATCAAGAATAAGGTAAAAAACTAATTTTGACGGCGAATCAAAAAAAAAAAAAAATCGCCCAGACTTGGACATTTCCTGAAATGCAGTGAAGGTCTGATATAGGTGAGTTTTTAACGAGCAGCACTTTATATCAGAATTTAGCATCTATATCTCCCCACCAAATTTAAGGGGGAAAATTGTGGTGTCTTATAACGTGACACTGTGGCATTATATTACTCAGAAATGTCACATGACACCATGATTTTACTGCTACATGCAGCGGGGAAACTGACGTTACATGATCAGACATCACGTTATGTCGGGTTACATAACACCGTGGCGTCGTGGTATCGGGTGACGACACAACCTGAAACCGAAGTAAATTTCCCCACTGAATTTAGCAAGGCAATTGCTGTCGCATGACATCACGCAACACTGACGTCACACAATCAAACCAACACATGCAAGAAAGGCCCCTACGGGGTTCCCATGCAAAACAACCCCTTTGAAAACAGACTGTTCTTATTTTAGAAATGTCAGAGCGGAAATAGCATTTCTGGGTTGTTACACACAGGTAGAGACAGTTATCTTTTTTCACTACACCGTATGCAGTTACGAAACCTTTTAACCCAGTATTGTTTCATGGTCCCTTTTAAGAATAGCGAGGGGGCAGTCAGACCTTGGTGACAGAGTCGTTGACATTCATGGCAGGGACGGTGAGCTTGCCGGACTTGGAGAGCTGGTAGAGCCGGTGGACGCCTGTTACACTCTCCTCCACAATGCCTTTGATCATCTTGAACATGGCCGGGTACTTCTTGAGCATCAGGTGAGTGGCGTCCCCGCCATCGTCCAAGATCTGAAAGCCATCCACAAAAGAAAGGTTGGGGCCAGGTGGCAAGGTCTGGAATTCATATTCACAAAGAGAAAGTTGAGGAAAGCTAGATGTGTAAGTCATCCACAAAAAAGAGGCGTAGAAAGCAAGATCGGCAAGTCATTTACAAAAATAAAGATTTGGAAAGCAAGATATGGAAGTAGTGCACAAGAAGAAAGATGTGGAAAGAAAAATCTGCTGGTCATCTATAAGAAAGGCGTGGAGGAGTTGCAACATTTTCAAGTCACTTGCACAAAGAAAGATTTGGAAAGCAAGATCTACACATAATCTGGAAAAAGATAGGTATAGCAATCAAGATGTGCAAAGTCGTCTACAAGAAAGTCATAGAAGGGTTGCAGGATTTTCAAGTCGCTTGCTCAAAGAAAAGTGTGAAATGGAAAGAGATAGCCACTAAAGAGAACCATCGGGAATGGTGCATCAGAATTCATACAATACCATACCAAGCATGCATCCAAGTCAGAATAAACAAACCCCCCCAACACCTATAATCTATCCACTTATGAAACAAAAGACAAATAAGCAAATTTGATATGGAGCACTCACACCAGACTTCTGAGTCCACCATATATTGTTTCACCTTACAATGAACAGTAGCGGATGCTAAGAGACATCGGAGCCAACCTAGTGCCGTGCAATTGTCAGGTGACCTACCAGAGTGACTCAAAAATGTTCAGAGTGCAAAGTTACGCGTTTTTCTCACAGCGCTGGGTTCACCAAGATGGCCTGTAGCGTCCCCTGCAGTCCAACATGAGTTGAAACCGAGAACGGCTAACCAAGACGCTCCTTCATGTCAGCTGCCTCTCCAAGCATGCTGGTGCAAAGCACTTAAGACCACTCTATCACGTGTCCCTTCTGCATTTTTATGCTCCACTTCACTTAACCGAGAACTAACTTCAAAGCACTTAGTTCTCGGTTAGCTCAAGTTAAAATACCATACATTAGTATTGATCGGGGAAAGGTTTTTAGAAATAATTGACAATGATGATAATATGCGTTGTTCGTGACTGCTTGAACTATAAGTTGTCGTGAATGTGGGTAGGCATACGTACCATGTTTGGCTGCCAGTTTTCTGAATGCACACATCTGTCTATGCACCACCAGAAGTCATCCTCAGACTCACCCTTCCAGGCAAAAACAGATATGTCTGCAACAGAAGTACACACACATTTCCTCATTCACACAAATCAACAGATGTTAACCTTCTGCTCTGCTACACATTGAAGCAATACAATCCCGTTCTTAATGAGGTTAACTGTCATAAAAAGCCTAGTCTGCATGCATTTCATTCAGCATGTCAGCAATGTCTTTTAGCACTTTTGCAATTAAAGGTTAAATACAATTGCTACGTAACACATTCCACATTATGCATAGAAACTAGAATTTCTCTGCTTCAGTTTTGCACTCTCAGCCCATTTAAAAAATCGTGCACCTTTGCATAATATGACTACCCCTCAAAATAAGATGAACAAAGTTTATAACAACCAATGCCCTGTTTCTCCCGTTTATCACCCTTTCCTGTTAAAAAAGCCAAACTTTCATTTTATGTGCCAGCCGCCTGGCATATGCTCATACAGTCGAACAAGGAAGCAAGGAGCACGCTTGCCAGCTGTGCTAAGCAAATAAAGAAAATGAGCCTGCAAGTTATGGCCGACGGCTCCTAAGCTGCAGCTGCAGGAATGACTCACAAGGAGAACCTTTCATATAGTTGCCAAGCATTTCTTGGTGTGACTTAACTAAACCTGCTTTGTCTGGAAAGCGAGCGATATAAAAAAAATACTGATTGTGGAGAAATTCAGCCTGCTGCTGCATCTGGTCACTAAAAGTTAAAACTAGTTAGTTCATAGTTTTCATATTATAATCACTACTACAAGGAGATACATGGTTTACACACAGTGCAGCAAATGTATAATAGCACCGATTCATAGTGAGCTACAGTCGCCACAAATGTATGTGGACAAACTTCATTTTGTAGCCAGCTGACCATAACAAGACGTCTGCCATTTGTGATAAAGTACCAACGTCGCCAAAGCCTGGCAAAAAACAGTGAGGGCTTGCTGAAGGCAGAGCATCTACTGCCATACACAGAACAACCAAAAAAATAAGAAGGGACACTGACCGGCTTCAGCAAGAGCAGCTGCAACTTCATTCTAGAAAAAATTAAACAATGGTCATCAGCCATGAGCACAATTCAAGAATGTGATTGCTCAGAGCAGCACCCCAAGGTGCGGCGTCTCACCTGGGTAGAGTAAATGTTGCAAGGAGCCCACCTTACGCTGGCACCAAGTGCAACCAGCGTTTCAATCAGCACCTGAAAAAAATAAAAAAAATGTTTACTGTAGTTAGCTTTAAGACTAACATTTGGTTATCACTGAGAGCAACCTTCCAGTGATGCTGCACTCAAAAACTATGTTGGTTGAAGCAACCGAGAAGTTTACTATTGGAGATGATTCTCATGAAATTGAAACCTTTTCTGGTCATGCACAAGGGTCAGCTGTGCCTTCAATGAGGTTGGCTGAATTAAGGCTTGCACAAAGGTGCATTTTAAATGAGACTAATACAAATGAGTGAGATTCAAACAATACCTCTTCAAACTAGATTATCCAAGATTAGGCTGTTTTAATTTCAGCTTTCTTCAATCAGTATGGTTCAAGTAAGCTTCATCCAAATTAAGGTTCAAAATAAGATTTGCTAAAGTAGAATTTACTCAAATAGTGGTGGTTTGAATGAAAGTTGGTCAAGCAATACTTGTTCATGCGAGGATGGTCAAAATCAGAATGTATCATCTGTAGCGCATAGGGTTTGACAAAGCAACTCAATAATGAATTAATGAAGTCATGTTTAGAAATCTCTTCATCAGCCACCACCCTTAAAATCATGACCAAAAAAAGATTTACCTGGAATGCAAGCATTACCACCCTATCTAAGAAGATTGACCCTTCATCCCTTGATGATAAATAAGTCAATAGTATTGCAGTGTGTTATAAAAGGCTTGCACTGATGTCACATCAGCCGACATTGTGGGGACCTTGTGGATGAGCAGTATGTAATGCGGCACACATTTCACACCAGCAAATTTGTTTTTCCCAGCAACAAGTAGAAATGACCACCAGCACGGTGTGATGACCTCACGTGCAAGTCATGTATACTGATAATGCAATTAATGCAAAGGAGAAGGGGAAAAAAAGGGGGCAAAGGACAAACACAAATCTCCACAGTATAGACTGGTGGCAGCTCTTAAAACCTGTTTGCACTAGTGACGCCTAACTCCTGGTTAGCCCAGTTGGTAGAGCGCTCCACTGGAAATGGAGATGTCCCTGGTTCTATACTAGGACCAGGCAATTTTTTTCAGTCGTGCACCAGTCAACTAGCTGTGTTTAGAGATCTGTCTGTGCTTTGTCCACCTTTTTCCCCTTCTCCAGGAATTATCATTATTCCTGTATACTTGATATTCCCCAAAACCATCTCCTAACATATTTTGTTGAAGATAACTAGTCAGTGTTGAGCGAATATATGAATTTTCGAATAGTAGTTTCGAATAATATACTATTCGATATTTGCTTCGAAATCAACTGCAATATTTGTATTTTTCTAGGTGTTGATCGCGGAGGGCTAGCCCCGTTGAGTGCGCTTCACACCGAACAGTGGTGCACTGCGGGGAAGCAATACCCGCGGAGCTCCACGAGAATTGCTTCTCCGCAGTACATCGGAACTTGGTGAGAAGCACACTCAACGGGGCTAACCCGCCGCTATAACGCAAGAGTATACATGTTTGAGAGCGACGTCTTGACAACCGGTGATATCTTTCGCGCATTTTATTTTCAAATCTGAAATTGAAGAAAGCATGTATTTATATAATAAGCAGATTTGTAAATTACCTCGATTAGAATAGCCGCGACAAATGTGTTGTTAACATGCCACCAGTTCATAAAGTTATAATAAAATTAACTGAGCTTAGAAGTGGACAAGAAAAAGGTAGGGAAAAGCATTGACGAGTTCAGCTGAATTTTCGTTTAATAATAGTGCACGGTAGTGCAAGGCTTCGGGGAACTATTCGAAGTTCGATTTGACAAGTATCTATCCCTACATTGTCTCAAGCGAGCAACAACGTTTGATAACCAATCCATACTTGATTTAACCTCGAGAACTGAAGTACAAAAATCCCGGATCCTCGCGGAAGATTAGCCATTTCTTAATTACTGCGTTAAATCGAAATATATATGTACGTGTATCTTAGGTTAGATTTATGGTATTTTATCAAGACGTCCAAGTTTCAAGCCCGAAAGGCAATGTTTCATCGACCGACAACAAAATCGTGTAAGAACTACTTCCCGCAGCGCATGAACGATGCGCAAAACTTCTTTTTCTTGATGTAACAAGTACTGTCGAGTCCGGTTATAACGAAGACGGTTATAACGAAAGAGCGGCTACAGCGAAGCAATCACAATTTCCCATTCCCTTTTGCACAACGTTATAACCGAAGTCGGTTATAACGAAATAGCGGATATAGCGAAGTGATTTCCAATTCCCGTTGACTTCGTTATAATAGGCCTCGACGTATAGCTGCCTTCCGGGGGGGGGGGGGGGGGGGGGGGGGGACGGGGACCACTCACAGCAGTCTGGGCGTTGATGTGGGTGCAGCCGACAATCTTCGCCCCCTGAAGGGGCTTGTCCTGCTCGGCGCGCTTCCGTAGCGCCATGATGCCGGGCATCTCCTGTTCGGCGATCTCGATCTCGCGACGCCCAAACGCCGCCTGACTGATGTTCTTGACGCAGAACTCGCTGAAGCCCTTGGAGTTCTTCTGCACCTTCTCCCGCGGCGACACACCTTCCTCGTCCGAGCTGGTATCTGTGTACGAGGCTGCAACAACAAGGACGGTTCGTCCAGCTCAATTGGAATTCGGATTTTCTATGGGACAAACTGGCGAGCGACTAAGAACAATGCGACAATCGTATATACACGGCTTGCGCCGACGTCACGTATGTGCAAACCGTCCGTCGCCATGAACTCGCATCAAAAGAACTACATTCATGCACAGCAACATGCGACAAGAGTATTACAATATGCAGTAAGAAAACCAGGGCAATACACTAGGTTTCTTTTTTTTTATATTGAAATCTGCACACACTTTAGCTAAATCTTCGCTCAAATAGAGGCTCATAAACCACTCTATAACAGTCGTTTCTCGTTTGCTAGGCTAAGCAAGATGCCGCCAATGCCCAATGGGAATATAATCATATGAAAACAGGGTAATTGTTATATCAGATGAGTGTTCTGCAAGATAAAAAAACTATATGAACTGTAAACAACCGAATTTCCATTCAAGTACATGTCGCTTCCTATAACTAATTAACGTGACTTTCAGGCAGCGAGGAGGAGAGCGAGGGTAAAAATATTCCACAAAGGGTGTTTCTTTTTTTTTTTTCTGAAACTAGAGAAATGAGCAAATTGGGGCTTCGCTACTAGTTGTCCACTGTTGTAAACGGATGTCTCTCCGCGCCCCCCCCCCCCCCCCCCCCCCCCGCTGTCCACCTCTGCTGCACAAAGCAGGGGGTGAAGAGGAGGGAGGGGAGGGGGCTGTAACGCAGTCGTTCGTTCAAGCCTTGTGGGTGGTGACACTATGGAAAAAAAAGAAAAAGGGGGATGAACGGAATAAGCTGGTAGCCGAAGGTTTTTTTCGCCTTCGAGAAGTGAGCTTTTTTTTTTTTTTTTCTTTTTTTTCTTTTTTACTGTGACGGATGCTGGTTCCGTGCAGCGATAGGCTCGTGCAGGATTTTGGATAAGCTCATGCAGGATTTCAACAGTTTGGGTCAAAAGTAACTAGTAATGAGTAACGAAATTTGAGAGCCGATACCGTAAAAAAGTAACGGAAATACTTTACTCGTTAGTCATTCAGAATACTCACGAGTACGTTACTGCGTTAGCGAAAAATGTAACGCGTTACCAGTAACGTCGTTACTAGTAACGCGTTACCTCCAACACTGCGTCAACCCCTCTGTGGCGATACTTAATTTTCACAGAAATGATTTGGCCCGCGTTTTGTGAAACACCCTGTATGCATGGCAGAGATTCTCTCAGGGACATGACTTTCATACGTTCGTATGTCACAGAAATATATTAAAAAAATCGCTCGGACCATCACTGCATCAACTGACAAAAAAAAAAACAACACAAAATCAATGTGGTTATCAAGCTCCATCTGTATTCCATTGGGCACGCATGGATACTTAGAAAGGGTCGGCTGGTTTGTCGTCACACAATGCTGAACGCCAAGATACCAACTCCCCAGATACCCCTTCCCTCGCCTTGTTTTCGCGGCGATAGACCTTCCTCGTGTGAGGGCTTTGGGTCTGATGGTAATGTGCAGTGCATACAGTTCTCTACTTCCGGCAGCAGTGGCGTCCGTCGACAGTGTTTCGTGAGCTAATGGTCCGTGGAAGGGTCAATGCAAGAAAGCGCAAGTATAAAACTAACTAAGCTATAGGGACAGCACAACTTTCTATACCCTATGATAGAGCAGTACCCTTGTGCAGCCTTTGATGTAAAAAAAAAATAAAAAATTAGCTACTTGGAGTCGACGCCATGCGGCAAAGCCCTTATAACGAAGACAAGCTAGCTCAATTTCAGTGAAGGTTTGTTGTTGTTTTTCTCTCAGGGAGGCTATACGTTACTCAATATTCTACTACCACAAGTTAGTTCAAATCACTGTTAACGGTTAGGGAGAGTTAGAAAATAAATAAAACGTGGAGTTCTTTAAACACTGACGTGCAATTTTGCCACATTTAGAGAAATGAGGGGGCGTTTCTGCATTAATAAAAGAACTACATTAATGGCCAAGCTTGCTTTTCTTGTATATTCGTAAAATGCATTTAAATATGATTCTTTTTCCTATATATTGCCTTGTTTTATATAAAGTAGTTCGTTTTTTAATAATTTGTAGATGTGTCACTAAAACGTGTTTATTTGACGTGTTTCGTAAAGGTTTTTACATAAAGGTATCTTCTTTTAATATTTAATATGGTGTGCTTACGTCCTAAGCCTTCTATAAAACAAGCATTAAAAGTTATTACTCCGTGCATGCTTTGGTGTGAAATTGACGGCTGTGCAAAGTACCATAACAAAACATTGGCGATCTCGACATCTCGAGCTTCGAAATTTTATATCTGCGGAGAAAATAAAATACGCCGTTCACATATAGCTGAATGGTCCTCCCAAGAACATGGCTTTAAGATATATGTTTACATAAATACAAAAAAAAATAATTACCCAGACCATCATTGCAGGATCTGACGTGGAAACACCCAGTAGTATTTTTTTTATTTATGTACCATTAGGTTCTTTGTGCCACGTTTTATCTAAGTATGACCACATAAGAGAACATGCGATTGAGGCAGCTGTTATATTTTAAAGCAGAAAAAAAGGCCCGGTCTTGAGTTATGCGAAGAATATCAGTTGGTTGAAGTTGCAAGCAAGGTGACGCATGGAGCACTTTACAATTTACTGTGCATGCAAAAATCACACTAAGATCCCCTAAAAGCATTTGCATCTGAGCTGCACCAGCAACAATTGAGTAATCATCCAAACCCAAACTGAAGAAATAAAAATAAAACAGATGTTCTACCAACAATAACCGTTTTCAGAAAGCCGTTTCTCAATATTAATCTGACACACCTAGATTGCACTCCACATGATCTAGTAATCATTTATTAGTTGAACATATTAACGCCAAGAGTTTTCATAAGTAACTCAAAAACCAAAACACAAATACAATAAATTAAAACAATTCCCACCCTCATTTTCCCACCAGAACTAGTCACAAGTTGCCAGTACAAGAGATTGGAGTGTTGGCAGTGTAGCCCTCCAGAAATGTTTTGTCTACTTAGCTTTTCTCACGGTTAACCTGCAAATAGTTTGAACGTTCAAATTTAAAGTTCAAAAACCGCGTACCTGAATCTACCTTGGAATAAATTAATGGCGTTCGAAAGTGTCGAGTACTTGCACGCCCATTAAACGGGTCTTACCACCGTCGCACGGAAGCACTGCGGAAAAGCTACTCCCGCGTTAACGGTGTCGTGGGCGCTACTTCCCCGCATTGCAACAGTGTTCAAGGAGAAGCTCTCCTTTTGGGAGAGTTTGCACGTGCGTTGGTCATTTTCTGGACAGAAGACCAATGGTCATTTTCTGAACAGAAGACCAATGGTCATTTTCTGGACAGAAAACCAATATCAGTCTCGTTTTTTTTTTTTTCGTTTTTTTTTTTTTTTTTTTTTGTGGTAATATTGCATTTCGATGTACTTCTTCAAAATCAAAAGGTAGGACCGCGGCTACAGTGTAAATGGATGAGACACGCCGTGCTATACCTCACGCGCGGTTTACTTTTACGATTGACATCGACTTCGTGATACGTTGGTATTCACTGGACGCACACAGTCAAGGTCGTCGTTGTACGGCAACGCATGCTCAGATTTAAGCTATCGTGTGTTGTCTGCTAAAAAGAGAAGTCTCGGTGATGTTATGCGCACGTTGTGGAAAGCTTACTTTGAAGCTTGTCGCTAACACGCGCTCAGGAAAAAGGGACTCGTTTATGGTGGCGTACCGTTCGTTTCACTTCGTCTGCGAGCGAAGTCGAAGCCAGAAGCACGAGCGCGTTGCCCCGGACGACGATTGCAACACGCGAGCGCGCGTGCTTGGCAGGAACGGTGAAGGCTAGGAGCACGCGCTCTCTTAGAATATGCACCGTCATTGTCCACCATTTTGTTTTTACGAAATGTCTGGTGCGTGCAGAAGGCAGCGAGCATTGCCAGTGCTTCGCACCATCCAATATGTCGTGCACGAACTCTCACTTTACCACCCGGAACAACAAAATGGCAGGCCGGACGCCGTGTGAAACTGCATCGCACGAATCGTGCCCCATTCGATACCGAAATTCACTTCCCGCACATGTTGGTTCGTTAAAGCGTGCTTCGGCAGTTACAGCGAAAACATTTTATGCTCTTCACACGGGTCCGCGCACATGATGTGGTGGACGAACAAACCGATCAATCGGTTATGGGCCACAAATTCGTTAAAACGCTCGGTCGCGATTGCGTGGGACGAGTGCAGGGGCTTACTATTGCTGCGGTATCTTGCAAGCAAGGCCGTGTCGGACCAGCGATTCGTTTCACCCTTCATCTCCGAGAGATCGCTTAGGCCCGCAGCATCGACGCCAGATTTCGCGGCGGAAGACACATTTTGCAGCGGTCTAGAACCGCGTAGAACACTTCGTGCTTTTGTCATCTTCGTCATCTTCACTAATTTACGACACACCAATAGACCATTTACTATATTACCCAAGAAACAAAGAGAAAAAGGATTGGTGTTCCACGCGCCACACGCGCACGCCTTCCCCGTATAAAAGGTTTGAAGTAAATAACCAAAACAAAGCGTTGACGAACGCGCGTGCAAGATTCCATTTGTTTTAGGTTTTTGCTTTAGAAAAAATACTACTGCTGAGCCAGCACGTGCGGCGGGTGGAACAGCAATCCCTGCATTCTCCTTGATGCTTGGGTAATATTAGCGGCGAGATGTTTTGGTGGCGACCTCCTATGGTTACCTTTCGTGACGTCATAACCATTCAAACAACAAGTTCGATGGTGTTTGTAATTTGTGTGGTGGAAGCTTGAAATAATAGCGCTCTCAAAGCAACAGTGCCAACACCGTCGAAATTGAAGTTCTTACATTAATCTTATTTCCGTCGATGAGACATCCTTTCCTGACGTCATAGTCAGCATTCGGCCTATCGTGGAAGGCCGACCACAGCGACGCTTTCGATCGCTCACGTCGCCAATAGCAATAGGTCTATTCCGGGGGGATCGGTGGCCGAGT